TCCCCCATCAACAGTGGCTTCTCAATACACAAATCAAGGTACAGTATCTTGCTAGCTTTAAGGGAGATAACCAGTTGACACATGACTGAACCTACATTCATTGCTCAGATCTGTAGATTATCTTGTTGTAATCTTCACCAGTATGTGGAGCAGCAAGTTTCAGCAAAGCCAAACGCATTAGATAAAATAGTACGCAGCTTTGTTTGGGCTGTGGGGCTTTAAGTAAATAAAAAGACAAATTTATGGCATACACACTAGGAAAATATCTCTGATCTTACGTCTAGATTTTGTATGCTTAACTTTGATTCACTATGCCACATTACATCCATAAATTCAGAAAAAAAAAGTAAAGTAATTGCCTGTATTTTGATTTTTCACTGCATCTTAAATATTTTGCCAAAAATCAGCAATAAACCAACCACATAAACCATATTTGCCCATTCAGATGTGATTATTGTTGGATGCAATGCAAAAAGATCTGTTTCTCGTGTGGATAATAGGGGCAGATAAAGAAGAACAGCAAACACAATCAGTGCTGTGTTTTTCACGTTAAGAGGCCCAGAGGTTTTAAGTTATCCCGCCACAGTGCCACAGGGAGTCTCAGGCTTTCCAGTTGTTTGAACGATGGCAGGCAGGAAATGAAACATGCGGGAGTAAGGACTGCATATAAAAAAAAAAAAAGTGAGGGAGTTTTTAAATGAATAAATCTCAACTGGTAGCATCAGCAGTGATTATCTCATCGGCCAGGCAGAAATGAAAAGGAAAAAGTTTACTAACCAGGAACAGCAATACTGTGGATCCACGTCTTTGAAAGCCTTCTGATATGCAGCATGTTAATCCACAAGAAAAAGGAAAAGTTTATCCAGAATCAGATCCAAACATAGTTGTTTAGTTCTCCAAAGTTTGCAAGAAAGATGTTTCACCAGAAAGCAGAACTAGCTGTCTATCAAGCTTTTAGTTTGACTTTAATAGAGGAAGGAGTGTGTTCTCGCTCTGCTCACTTCTGTCCGTCTGCTGGCTCCAACAAGATGTGTGTGTGTGTCTGTGTGCAGAAGTGTGTGTGTGTAGTCTGCTCATTTCCTGCCTGAATGTGTTTCTGGGCTCCAGGCGGGCAGGCTGCTCAGGAACACATGGCCATCCCCTGTTCTGCCAGGGGTTCCGCATTCCCCACACATGCACACACACGCACGCATACACATTCGCGCACACACACACACACACACACATACACGAGCACCACTCCCTTAGCTCCCCCCGTGACCCTTCCCAAGCCCCCATGCTGCTACTAGTACTCCAACCTACACCCTCACCACCTCCTATGCAGGGCACAACAATCCCCCACCCTTTACTCTGCTACTGCAATGACACACACGTGTACACACACACACACACACACACACACAGAATCCTAACTGCTCGGAGGTTATTGATACAGGGCCAACCGGTCCCTGCTGCTGTCGTTCAGTCGGTGCTTTGTGATCCAGTTTTTTTTTACCGTTCAATCAACAAGTAAAGAGAAACAGGAAAGAAAGAAAAACCCTAGCAATGCCTTAACAACAAGAACCATTTCCGTTAAGTCTCATTTATGCTTATTCAGGAGATGGTTTTTGGAAGTAGCTTTTAGAGAAGAGGAAGTGACCAAATGTGTGATCATGCTCACTTGTTTTGTTGTTCAGCATTGTTCAAGCGCAACACTTCTATATCTATTTTTTGTGCATAAATACTGAACAGTTTGAGTAACGTGCAATAAATTATTAAACTTTGCTAAAAGGTAAACCTATTTAGGGTTTTCAATAGATTTTTACCTTTTAAGCAACATGTCATAATGGAAATTGTTTAAGAACCTACCTACTGATACCAACCTACCGGTACCTACCAATACCTACCGGTACCTAGCTACCTACCAATACCTACCTACCGGTACCTACCAATACCTACCGGTACCTAGCTACCTACCA